GGATCCAGCCGAGGAAATAGGTACATTCTTTATTTTCAAGTGCTTTGTGCTAATCGCGATATGGAATAGTGTCTGTAAACAAAAAGACTGTTTGAATCGCGTTTTTGTGTGTGAATGAATGAACAGCTTTTACCTAACTATATTCCAATACTGAGATGAGTAAAAATCGACTGAAATATGTTTAAATAAAATATTTTTGTATAAGCAACGTATTAAACTGCAAATTAACATTTATATGTCCTAATCATAAAAACGATATGTTACATATGAAAGACAAGATGTCGTTTTTACTGTAAAATACTGCCACATCAAATAAGCTTGTTTGCTAAGATGTTATTATAGTGTTTGTTCGATTGTAGGCTATATTCAAACTAATTAATCCGCAACTGTGAAATATGTATGATAAAATGTAGGCTATACTTTAGTTTATACAAAGAAAGATTACATTTGAAATATAGTTAAAATTTTAAATGTTGTTGTAATTGTAACCTTTTTATTGAAATAGCAAAAATATATGTAGGCTACATATAAATAAATCTTAGGTAAATCTTAAAAGCTCTATATATTTGCCTCCTCTTTAAATTATTTGTATTGTGTTTTATTAGTGACACATTTGGGATACATTCCCAAACTTTCTGTAAAAACAGTATGATAATTAACTGCACAATTACTATAATTTTTTACATTTGATATTATACAATTTGCAAGCACAATTTGAAAAATAAATAATTGGAACTGTGAACCAATTTTGTATTATATAGGCATATATATATATATATATATATATATATATATATATATATATATATATATATATATATATATATATATATATATATATATTGTCATTGCATTGCATTCTTGTGGCTCAGTGACACACCTGAATGAAAGGGTCATTAGTATGCAGCCCCATTATGCGCTCATTATGCGGGCCCATTGTCTTCTCAGGTGTGAATCACAGCAGGTCACACCCCTGCGCATATTGCCTTTCCAAACAAAAAGTGTCATTTTTAAATTTAAACCAATCTATTGTTTAATGTGAATGATAAGGCAGGATGATTTTCAGATCATTTTGAAGAAAAAACTCTAGGCCACAACACCCATTAGTCAAAAGTCTTGTGGACAGATATTTAGTATGTGTTTTGTGGCCTTATTTCAGAAACTTTAAGTTTTATTTTTTTCAATAACCACGCATAAACAATATTCTCTCAAAAATACAAAAATGTACATACATTTTGATAACACATTATGGTAGCCCTGTGTGTGCTAAATAGAGTGTAATTACACCTTTGCCAGTAATATGTTTATAAGCAACTGAAAAAAGCACAAATGTCAGAGTATGTCAAAACATCTCAAGGACCCCAAAAACACCTTGGACCCCAGAGGGTTAAGATCTGTTGAGTCTTGTTCTAATTCAAAAGGTTCTGTGTCTGTGATGAATAGTGCCAAGAAGATCTCATCTTCTCTCTCTCTCTCTCTCTCTCTCTCTCCCTCTTACTCCCAATCTTGCGCCCTCGCAACCTCTCTCTCTCTCTCCTATGTGTACTCGTCTGTCTCGTTAGTTTACTGTTTAACTGTACATACATGTATCCTGTGTTCAAATGTAGAATTCTGTATCCGTAGTTTCAATTATTAAAACCATATTCTTGATTGATCCTGAAGTGCTCATTTACAAGTCAATGAAATGAATATCTCGCTAAAAGCTTTACAAGTTGTTACTATATCAGTAACGTAAATTTTATAAACACGAGAAAATTAATGTTCACGGCCGGAACATTGAGCTTTCTCGGAGTTTATAAAAAGGGACAACCCTGTTGAGAAGTTGGTTAGTTAACCTTACGGCTGTTTGCTGGACAAACCGATTGTTTGATAGACTAAATTGATTCCCTTAACGTTGTCTTATAATCGATCTGTAATGAGACCATTGATATATGAATGAGGAATTATAATTCGTTATGATTTACCATTCATATATACAATCGATCTATTTTCAATTTCGATAATTTAACTGTAATATGCAATATATTAATCATATTCATGATTAATTATTAAAATTCCCTATGCATAATTTGAGCTAATTAAGGCACATCTCAATGTCGCTACAGGCCAATGTCCTGGCCATAAGTAATGTGGCTATGCGTGGTTAACTGTGCTGATTTAACCATTGGATGTATGGTATATTTTCCCTGTTATCACCAAATAAATCTCACTTGTAAGACTACTTTCTCTTTTCTTTTTTCTTAAGTGGGAAAACAACGTTGGTGTTTTTGGTATGCCAGCGTTAGTTTGGCTGTTCTCTCGCATAATGGCTCATTGAAAATTCGTGCTTTAGGAATGTACAAGTTCCCCTCCCTAAGACCCAAACACATGCAAAACTGTTTCAGAGAGGCTAGCAATAGTAAGTTAGCTTTGAACACATGAGCTCCCACCCTCCAAAGCCACGCCTCCTTCAAAACACATGAATGCACAAAGCAGAGTCTGCAAAGTGTCACGAGATGAAAGACCGTTAAATTGCCTCATGTCTCAAAACGCATAACATTTCAGTGACTATGAACACGCCAACAACTTAGTGCTCTAGTTGTACCATCTGACTGATGCGGATTCATTTCGGCAAGTCTGAATTTTCGTCCAGAGACCTTTACAGAAGGTATGTTCATATTTTAATATTTAGAACACTTCTAATATTGATTGCTATCAGGATGTGAAGAGTTTCAACCAGTATTGCCTATTGACCAATAGTCTTCCGCTGCATTCTGAAGCATTTGCTCCAAAGCATAATAGTCACATATATTGGTTGTAGACATGATATAGAATTATGTAGTTGAACGATGTTTGATTATAAGTCCGTCAAGAATTGTTTTGGGGTGATTTATGTATTATGTATACAGCTAAGTACTTTATGGCAATGCAAGCTTCAAAGAGATGAGCCTAGCTAAAGGAAGAACGTTGTCAATGTTTGGTAGTTTGGAAAAGACGGATTGGTTCAGAGATGGCACAGCTCGAGCCCGACCAAGATAACTGCAGACGTTGTTTGATCCCAAGACAAAGATCTAAAACAGACCACCACCTCCTTAATGACCTTTGAACGACCCCAGGGTTGAAATCTCTCAAAACCACTGAGACTTTACATATCAAAATACATAAAATCATCCCAAAACAATTCTTGATGGACGTCTAATCAAACATCGTTCAACAGCATAACCCTATATCATGCCAACATCCAATATAGTGGTATTCGAGTGGCGCTACAAATTCTTCTAAAATCGGATTTTATTTCTGGCATGTTAAATTAACATCCGACAAACGCGAACACACTTTTATTTAAGTACACTCACAATAACAATTAAATGTTGTGCTTTTGTAAAAAAAAAAAAAAGAGAAAACAAACAGTGTGCGCTTTCTGCCGCCTCAGTCTCCGTGAACTGGAGCGTGTCAAAGAAATGAACCAAAACTCTATAGGCTACTTGCCTCAGTCACGATGAGAAATATGTCTATAGAAAGCTTGGGTGAACAAAAATTCTCTGATTATATAATCCATATGAAACCATCCATCATCAAATTGGCTTTGATATAACCATGGCTGTATATTCACTATAGTGGCTGGAAACATTGTTTTCCTTCATAATTACTTTGCATCGCAAATCAATCAGCAATTGAAAAATTCAGATTCAAATTCTAGACATGCCCCTGTGTCTGTGCTGTGTCTCTTGATGTTCAATGTAGATTTATGCCAGCCTCCAGTAGAGATCCATTTCCTGGAGAGTTTAGGTGTAGGAGTTTAGTCATAATTACAACTTGTAACTTGTGGTAGAACTCCGACTTGTACCACGTGGTCGCTTTACCACCTGACCACATTTGGCGTTGATAGCTTTGCCATAAAAACGCTCAATCATCTCCTAATTACGGTAATTATTACGACATCCAACCCTAATCAAACACACCTGAACAAGCTAATCAAGGTCTTCAAGATTAGGCTACATTAGAAAGCTACAGGCTGGTGATTTTCATTAGGGTTGGAGTTACCCAGACCTCCAATTGGAACTTTAAAAACACGTTCGAACAGCTCTCTAAACTCTTTTGACAGCGTTTGTTGTGGGAACTGATATTTTGATGCAGCAACAGGGTTTTTCTTTGTAGTGTTGTGTTCCTTGCTGTCCACCCCTCCGGACTCACTAATTCAGCCCATCTTCCTGCAGAGTTGATTGTGAGATTGCAGGTCGAGAGGATGACCACTCGAGTGTACTACTCGTTTAGTGCTGTTTTATTGTGTCTGTCTGCATGTTTGAGCACAACAGACGCTGGAGTCGTAGGTGAGAAGTTATTTTAGCTTCATTACACAGCCCGAAGAAGTGCATAAATAAACTTCCTAACCAATTTTGACTTTAGACCCATCTCAGCACATAGGCTTACAAAAATGCAGTGCAGACGTCAAGTGAGAGTTCAACTTTGTATGTTGGTTTAGTTTTAATAATAAGCTAAATATAATTGTGCAAACTGTCATAAGTTTATGCATTTTTCCATTGTACAAGTAAAACCCATATAATCACTAATGTAGGCATTTTTCTTTAATGTAAAACAAGAACATTAGTGTTATAATATGGCTACAAAATTGTTACCAGATGGTTATCAATCCGGAGTTTAAACTTTTGCCTAAAGTTTTTGTTTTAACAACTACAATATAACATGGGGAGCTAATTATAATCGATAAGCATGCGTTGTGTATACGTAGTGCGTTTCTATATTTGTTTTGTTTTCTGTTGAGTAGCCTATTAAAATGCTTAAAAGGAAGTTAGGGTGGACATGGGGATGGCATAATTTTTTGAAGATGTACACCAGTAAATGTGGGTAGGTTGTAACAGCACTCTCAGTCTTTGAAACTAATTGATGCAGTTTAGTGAAAAATGGTAGATTTCTAAGCTACTTTGAATTGAAGCTGATAAATTGAATCCTCTTCTGTAGTGTCCGGTCACTGTCCGGCGACGCTGACGGTCAAGCCATCCCGTCGAGGATGCACTTCTTATAGAGACTGCTCTGGAGGACACAAATGCTGTCCATTTCCCTGTGGGCCTGTGTGTGTGCCGCCTGTTTTCAGTGAGTTTTAATTAATGATGGATGCTATACGTCTTCCAAAAACACTGAAAAAATGTTTTGACTCAGAAATTGCTAGTAAGTTTCACAAATAATTGCAAAGAAACCACAAGCAACACATTGAATTAAACGCGAAACTATGAAGTAGATAGACTGATAATTCCGGTAAATCCTCCTATCATCTTAGACAATTTTTTTTTTTTTTTACACTGTATGAGACATTCAGTGATGTGGTTTCTGTCATGTGTCGGTATAACAGCAAAGCCAGGAGAGTGTCCAAGCCCAAATTTTGGAGCAGGAATGTGTGCCGAGTTGTGTTTCTATGACAGTGACTGTCCGAACAATGAGAAATGCTGCAGCAATGGATGTGGACGTCAGTGTATGGCTCCATTTGCAGGTATTTGTTATGTTATTATATTAGTGTTTGGGTCAGCTTCCTCGTTATTTCAGTTTGTCCTTTTTTCTAATAAATCGTTCTCCATGTAAAAATGATTCAGCCAATAGCATGGTTTCAAGCACAGGATGGCTTTACACAATTAACAGATTCTGATTAATACTTAATAGTAAAACTTGCTATTTGGGTTTTGTGCTGTATCCGAGACTGAATGCTGCTGAATGGACTGATTAAAGTTGACCATCTGTATCCATCCAGTGAAGCCTGGAGCCGAACCCCCGAGGCCTCCGGTGAAGCCTGGAGCCGAACCCCCGAGGCCTCCGGTGAAGCCTGGAGCCGAACCCCAGAGGCCTCCGGTGAAGCCTGGAGCCGAACCCCCGAGGCCTCCGGTGAAGCCTGGAGCCGAACCCCCGAGGCCTCCGGTGAAGCCTGGAGCCGAACCCCCGAGGCCTCCGGTGAAGCCTGGAGCCGAACCCCCGAGGCCTCCGGTGAAGCCTGCAGTGAAGCCTGCAGCCGAACCGCCGGAGCCTTCCACTGAACTGCCTGAACCGGAGCCTTCCGTCGAACTGCCTGTGTCTGAGCCAGAGCCTTCTGTCGAACTGCCGGATCATGGGCCAGAGCCGGAGCCTTCCGTCGAACTGCCGGAGCCTTCTGCCGAAATGCCTGAGCCGGAGCCTTCCACAGAACTGCCGGAACCTTCCGACGAACTGCCAGAGTTGCCTGCAGCCGAACCCCCGAAGCCTCCGGTGAGGCCTGCAGCCGAACCCCCGAAGCCTCCGGTGAGGCCTGCAGCCGAACCGCCCAAGCCTCCGGTGAGGCCTGCAGCCGAACCGCCCAAGCCTCCGGTGAGACCTGCAGCCGAACCACCCAAGCCTCCGGTGAGGCCTGCAGCCGAACCGCCCAAGCCTCCGGTGAGGCCTGCAGCCGAACCGCCCAAGCCTCCGGTGAGGCCTGCAGCCGAACCGCCCAAGCCTCCGGTGAGGCCTGCAGCCGAACCGCCCAAGCCTCCGGTGAGACCTGCAGCCGAACCGCCCAAGCCTCCGGTGAGACCTGCAGCCGAACCACCCAAGCCTCCGGTGAGGCCTGCAGCCGAACCGCCCAAGCCTCCAGTGAGACCTGCAGCCGAACCGCCCAAGCTTCCAGTGAGGCCTGCAGCTGAATTTCCAAACCCTTATGGCCAATGTCCTGGCCATAAGTAATGTGGCTATGCGTGGTTAACTGTGCTGATTTAACCATTGGATGTATGGTGTATTTTCCCTGTTATCACCAAATAAATCTCACTTGTAAGACTACTTTCTCTTTTCTTTTTTCTTAAGTGGGAAAACAACGTTGGTGTTTTTGGTATGCCAGCGTTAGTTTGGCTGTTCTCTCGCATAATGGCTCATTGAAAATTCGTGCTTTAGGAATGTACAAGTTCCCCTCCCTAAGACCCAAACACATGCAAAACTGTTTCAGAGAGGCTAGCAATAGTAAGTTAGCTTTGAACACATGAGCTCCCACCCTCCAAAGCCACGCCTCCTTCAAAACACATGAATGCACAAAGCAGAGTCTGCAAAGTGTCACGAGATGAAAGACCGTTAAATTGCCTCATGTTTCAAAACGCATAACATTTCAGTGACCATGAACACGCCAACAACTTAGTGCTCTAGTTGTACCATCTGACTGATGCGGATTCATTTCGGCAAGTCTGAATTTTCGTCCAGAGACCTTTACAGAAGGTATGTTCATATTTTAATATTTAGAACACTTCTAATATTGATTGCTATCAGGATGTGAAGAGTTTCAACCAGTATTGCCTATTGACCAATAGTCTTCTGCTGCATTCTGAAGCATTTGCTCCAAAGCATAATAGTCACATATATTGGTTGTAGACATGATATAGAATTATGTAGTTGAACGATGTTTGATTATAAGTCCGTCAAGAATTGTTTTGGGGTGATTTATGTATTATGTATACAGCTAAGTACTTTATGGCAATGCAAGCTTCAAAGAGATGAGTAAAGGAAGAACGTTGTCAATGTTTGGTAGTTTGGAAAAGACGGATTGGTTCAGAGATGGCACAGCTCGAGCCCGACTAAGATAACTGCAGACGTTGTTTGATCCCAAGACAAAGATCTAAAACAGACCACCACCTCCTTAATGACCTTTGAACGACCCCAGGGTTGAAATCTCTCAAAACAACTGAGACTTTACATATCAAAATACATAAAATCATCCCAAAACAATTCTTGATGGACGTCTAATCAAACATCGTTCAACAGCATAACCCTATATCATGCCAACATCCAATATAGTGGTATTCGAGTGGCGCTACAAATTCTTCTAAAATCGGATTTTATTTCTCGCATGTTAAATTAACATCCGACAAACGCGAACACACTTTTATTTAAGTACACTCACAATAACAATTAAATGTTGTGCTTTTGTAAAAAAAAAAAAAAAAGAGAAAACAAACAGTGTGCGCTTTCTGCCGCCTCAGTCTCCGTGAACTGGAGCGTGTCAAAGAAATGAACCAAAACTCTATAGGCTACTTGCCTCAGTCACGATGAGAAATATGTCTATAGAAAGCTTGGGTGAACAAAAATTCTCTGATTATATAATCCATATGAAACCATCCATCATCAAATTGGCTTTGATATAACCATGGCTGTATATTCACTATAGTGGCTGGAAACATTGTTTTCCTTCATACCCAGATAGCAATGAGTCGGCGGACCACCGTCGGTTCTCCGGCGGCAGTAGAAGCGTCAGAATGGCGACATCGCAAACACGTTGGACGGCGCACCGCCGGCGGCAGCCGCTTTTTAAAAGCGGCAGCCGCCTTCCTACCGCCTTCGTTAAGCGGCCGGCCCGCGGGCCAACCGCCGTTCCGCCGCGCTTTATATTGAAGGCCGTCCTTCCGCGGCCCGCCGGAGGCAAACGCTATTTTCGAGCGCTCTGCCGCCGCTTATTCTGGCTATATATATATATATATATTTTATAGCATGCAGTTTATCAAGAATAATGATTGCTCAAACCAGACAAATTTACAATTGGTATTTTTATTCCACATTTCAAAGTACAGTAACTGTCATTTAAACAAGATGTCAGATCACTGAAACATAACAGAAAAATAAATAAATCAATATACTAACATGCAGGTTTCCAATTCAATTTTGGTTAAACAGCCTTACAAGCAAATTACAACACTTACAATAAGTGTTCATATAAAAAGGACAGCTCTCGGGTAACAAATTACCAGTAAACATTATGACAAGTAAAGAGGATATTTGATACCAAATAATGTGCAAGATACCAAATAAATAAAAGTATAACTACATTTACAAGCCATTTCTAACAATATGATAAGTGGTAGTAATTTATAGTAAAGCTCTGGAGTAGAATAGGCCATTATAACGGCAATGCTGACCTGTGGCACAAGGATTTACAAGCTTTATTTGAAAAAGAAAAAAAGAAAGTAATTTCCACAGTGAGTGAGTGTAGTCTGACACTTCTGACTTCTTTAGGGGTCTTGATTCTACTGACTGCAAGATAAAGAAAGGATTCCAGTTGTCAGTGATTCTGGGGTGTCAGTAGTCAGTATAGTTTTAAGTGGTCGGCTGTGGGTCCCTCTCAGCTGTGCGGCGCCTTTTTCTGCCTTCATGGTCAGATGCTCCTTTCAGGTAACGTGTAACGTTAACCTGGACCGCCTCATCAGTGCATCCTGGGTTGCCGGGTCCTTCCGGATGGCTAATATAGAAAATACAGATCTGTCATTTAATTTGAATTGCATGAGGACAATAGGACATACACATCTACTTAAATCTAAAAAAAATATCCAACTTACTTTGAACAATGGTCTTCAGGAACATGTCTCTAAAACATGCTTTATCCCCTACACCAAGCTGAAAATCCAAAAAAGTGTTACAAAATACATTTCTCTGAAGCTTCTCATAAATAAATAAAAAATGTGTAAGGCTAAGGATTCAGACTGTAATATATGCAGTATACAATCTTAAATTTTACTTTATATCTAGGTCTACTACATGTACAGGTAGCCCCAGTGGGAATTAAACCGACAGCCACAGGTGCTGTTTGCAAGTTGTACCTAATTGCTCAGTGCAAGCAAACGTCTTCAACATTGTTTGTTGAACTTGCTTCACCTGCTCTTGAAGTAAGAATTTACAATTCGTATTTTTATATGTAATATTGTAGTGTTTATTATAAATGATTTATCTGTGCACTTCATTATTCTTTTAAAATTCATGTAGCCTTATAATCTTTAATCAAATACGTTACCCTTCCCTCCCCCCTCGAAACGACTTCTCTTCTCTTCCGGTCATGTGCTATGGCGCGAGGGCGTGGCAACTCCCCTCAAACCGTGCTATGAGCAGAGATGGAGAAGAGGAGCGCTAGAGTAAAACCCTGCCCTCCGTTCAATATACCGTTTCATTTTTAAATACGTCACAACACTGGAGAAAAGTCGTTTGTAACTTCCGGTTCATGCCGACTTCAAATAGAACCAATAGTTTCCAAAACAAAAAAACTTCACAAATAACATCACTTACTTGTACTCAAACTCTTGGCTCTGTGAAGTGGAGTCTGGATTACTGGGGAGAAACCTGGTTGCGAGAAAGAGGAAACAGAAATTTGAAAATCTAACAAATGGTATATTTTAGTGGCAGGATCACAAATCCAGCATAACAGCAATAGATTTTACATACCAGTTCAGCATTTTCCTGGTTTTCTGGAATCGATGCATCTTTCTAGAGTTTTTTTTCTTGAGACTTCCAAGATTCTAGAGTAGGGAATAATGAATGAAAGAGTCAGTTATCCACAATAAACAGAAAATAAATTACACAGATGAAATACAGGAAAATCAAATACACAAGTCAGACCCATTTACCTGCTCCCTTCATGAACTTAAAATGATGTTTCTCCCAGGTGCTGTGTGGAGGTGTGCAGAGGATGGCTAAATTGTTGCCTTCGTCTTTTTGCTGAGGTTAAATGGGGGCCAATGGCACATGCTCTCGCTGAGCCACTCTTGCGGAACCACTGCAAATGGCAGATCCTCCTCGTTGATAAACTGAACAAGGTGAACCATCTAAAATAGAAGAACATTTTGCATAAAGTATACTTTTTGATTAATTTCCAGGCAAAATCAATAACATTAAAATGCTCACCCCTTCAAAAAACGAGTCATTTTCACAAGTGGATCAACAGAAAACCATGTTCAGACAAAAACAATCATATACATATACACACATATATACATATACACACACACACACACACACATAGTTATTTTTGTAAGAAAACACCAAAAGTTAAACTTTCTAGATGTAAAGCTTTCTTTCTAGATGTAAAGCTTTGGCGATCTACTGTAGCTAGATACATTTCAACATGTCGAACATGCTTGAATTCAGTGAGTAAAAAAGGCGAAGCAACATGTGTTAGCTAACACTGTAAGTTAAACTAGACTAGCAGCATGGTTGTCGAATCAAACAAAACATCATTATGTTTAGTTAGAAAACAACACAAGTTATACTGATCAGTCTTTCTTGTTGTAAAGATTTTGCTAACGTTACCATTCCCACGTGGGCGGGAGAATTGTCCTTCAGGATTTGGTTACGTAAGTTAGTTAATTATTCGACTGACCAATACTATCTTAAACCACATACTGTAGTACTCACACTTGCATAAACATACGTAAATATAGTTAAAAGAAGAAAAGAAAAAACTAACGCCAGGAAGAAACTAAGTAACGTTAGCCTAACTAACGTTAGCTATGTCAGAAACATGACGAAAACTTTGTAAACAAGGCTAACTTACTAGCTTGACTAGTAAGGCAAGAACATATTTGAAAAAGCTGAACTAAAAATGTAAAAAATGAACATAATATTGCGTTACACAAAAAGGAAAAATGTACTTACTTTAAAGATCGTAGTCAATGACTAGATAGGATATCCTCTCCAAATACTGAAATCGTGTGACGAGTGGCCACTGTTGTGTTGGTAAATCTGCTTCCGTTTTTTAGGTACTGCCCCTCTCGGCCGGTGGAGGTACTTCTCTGTTTGTGCTTTAATACTTTCTTAAACATTTGTACAGATTGCAAAACTCGCAATTGCAAATTAATCCCTTACCTGTAAAAGGTAAAAAAAAAAAAAAAAAATCGAGCTTGTAAAAAAATGAAAGACATAAACGAAATTTCCTGGGGTGACAGAGAGACAAAATATTTCTAAATATTTCACTTTATCTTTCAGGTCAAAACAAGGATTTTCATGTTTATTATAAATATTACCATGGTTGCAAATTAATAAAAAAAATCTAAAGCATACCCAAGCTTTTGGCCAAGTTGCAGATGTCTTTCACTGTTCACTGATTTCAGGCATTGGTGAAAAGTCTAACTTCATCCATTTATTCTGCTAAATTGTTCATACCATGAATGAAATATTTATTTTAAAACCTAATCAGAATCAGAAAGATATTTATTGCCAAGTAAGTTTTACAAAAGGAATTCTTTTTGGACTATTTGTGCATCTCAATTGTGCATAAATCAAAGAAATGTAAAGAATTGTCACCTTAAGTGAATAAAATAATTATATATATTTTACATAGGCCTATCACTGAATCGCTTCAGAGTTTCAACGTAATTTAAATGTATTTTCCTAAACCTTATCATGGAATCAGACTGAGTCAAATCTGTTATAAACCCTAATGACTTTGGAGCAACAACAATAACAAAATTTGATATAATTCACATAATAATTATAATCGCTTTAAATGTGAAAGTTAAAATGCTGTCAGTTCCACTCATGCCAATGACATGGCTGGTCGATTTCAATGCGGCTTGCCGCCAGCCGGCCGCGGTTCATTTAGACGGCGGCAACCGCCAGAGAGAATGAAGTCGGCGGCCCGGCGGCTGTTCGCCGGCGGCATCTCGCAAGAAATGGGAGTGACGTATTCGGCGGCAAACGTTTCATCTCCGCCAGCGGGGCGCACCTATAGCCGACAGTTTGGGGCCGGCGGCAAAAAGAAGCCGTGCCGATATTTTTTGCTATCTGGGATAATTACTTTGCATCGCAAATCAATCAGCAATTGAAAAATTCAGATTCAAATTCTAGACATGCCCCTGTGTCTGTGCTGTGTCTCTTGATGTTCAATGCAGATTTATGCCAGCCTCCAGTAGAGATCCATTTCCTGGAGAGTTTAGGTGTAGGAGTTTAGTCATAATTACAACTTGTAACTTGTGGTAGAACTCCGACTTGTACCACGTGGTCGCTTTACCACCTGACCACATTTGGCGTTGATAGCTTTGCCATAAAAACGCTCAATCATCTCCTAATTACGGTAATTATTACGACATCCAACCCTAATCAAACACACCTGAACAAGCTAATCAAGGTCTTCAAGATTAGGCTACATTAGAAAGCTACAGGCTGGTGATTTTCATTAGGGTTGGAGTTACCCAGACCTCCAATTGGAACTTTAAAAACACGTTCGAACAGCTCTCTAAACTCTTTTGACAGCGTTTGTTGTGGGAACTGATATTTTGATGCAGCAACAGGGTTTTTCTTTGTAGTGTTGTGTTCCTTGCTGTCCACCCCTCCTGACTCACTAATTCAGCTCATCTTCCTGCAGAGTTGATTGTGAGATTGCAGGTCGAGAGGATGACCACTCGAGTGTACTGCTCGTTTAGTGTTGTTTTATTGTGTCTGTCTGCATGTTTGAGCACAACAGACGCTGGAGTCGTAGGTGAGAAGTTATTTTAGCTTCATTACACAGCCCGAAGAAGTGCATAAATAAACTTCCTAACCAATTTTGACTTTAGACCCATCTCAGCACATAGGCTTACAAAAATGCAGTGCAGACGTCAAGTGAGAGTTCAACTTTGTATGTTGGTTTAGTTTTAATAATAAGCAAAGTATAATTGTGCAAACTGTCATAGTTTATGCATTTTTCCATTGTACAAGTAAAACCCATATAATCACTAATGTAGGCATTTTTCTTTAATGTAAAACAAGAACATTAGTGTTATAATATGGCTACAAAATTGTTACCAGATGGTTATCAATCCGGAGTTTAAACTTTTGCCTAAAGTTTTTGTTTTAACAACTACAATATAACATGGGGAGCTAATTATAATCGATAAGCATGCGTTGTGTATACGTAGTGCGTTTCTATATTTGTTTTGTTTTCTGTTGAGTAGCCTATTAAAATGCTTAAAAGGAAGTTAGGGTGGACATGGGGATGGCATAATTTTTTGAAGATGTACACCAGTAAATGTGGGTAGGTTGTAACAGCACTCTCAGTCTTTGAAACTAATTGATGCAGTTTAGTGAAAAATGGTAGATTTCTAAGCTACTTTGAATTGAAGCTGATAAATTGAATCCTCTTCTGTAGTGTCCGGTCACTGTCCGGCGACGCTGACGGTCAAGCCATCCCGTCGAGGATGCACTTCTGATAGAGACTGCTCTGGAGGACACAAATGCTGTCCATTTCCCTGTGGGCCTGTGTGTGTGCCGCCTGTTTTCAGTGAGTTTTAATTAATGATGGATGCTATACGTCTTCCAAAAACACTGAAAAAATGTTTTGACTCAGAAATTGCTAGTAAGTTTCACAAATAATTGCAAAGAAACCACAAGCAACACATTGAATTAAACGCGAAACTATGAAGTAGATAGACTGATAATTCCGGTAAATCCTCCTATCATCTTAGACAAATATATTTTTTTTACACTGTATGAGACATTCAGTGATGTGGTTTCTGTCATGTGTCGGTATAACAGCAAAGCCAGGAGAGTGTCCAAGCCCAAATTTTGGAGCAGGAATGTGTGCCGAGTTGTGTTTCTATGACAGTGACTGTCCGAACAATGAGAAATGCTGCAGCAATGGATGTGGACGTCAGTGTATGGCTCCATTTGCAGGTATTTGTTATGTTATTATATTAGTGTTTGGGTCAGCTTCCTCGTTATTTCAGTTTGTCCTTTTTTCTAATAAATCGTTCTCCATGTAAAAATGATTCAGCCAATAGCATGGTTTCAAGCACAGGATGGCTTTACACAATTAACAGATGCTGATTAATACTTAATAGTAAAACTTGCTATTTGGGTTTTGTGCTGTATCCGAGACTGAATGCTGCTGAATGGACTGATTAAAGTTGACCATCTGTATCCATCCAGTGAAGCCTGGAGCCGAACCCCCGAGGCCTCCGGTGAAGCCTGGAGCCGAACCCCCGAGGCCTCCGGTGAAGCCTGGAGCCGAACCCCCGAGGCCTCCGGTGAAGCCTGGAGCCGAAACCCCGAGGCCTCCGGTGAAGCCTGGAGCCGAAACCCCGAGGCCTCCGGTGAAGCCTGGAGCCGAACCCCCGAGGCCTCCGGTGAAGCCTGGAGCCGAACCCCCGAGGCCTCCGGTGAAGCCTGGAGCCGAACCCCCGAGGCCTCCGGTGAAGCCTGGAGCCGAACCCCCGAGGCCTCCAGTGAAGCCTGGAGCCGAACCCCCGAGGCCTGCAGTGAAGCCTGCAGCCGAACCGCCGGAGCCTTCCACTGAACTGCCTGAACCGGAGCCTTCCGTCGAACTGCCTGTGTCTGAGCCGGAGCCTTCTGTCGAACTGCCGGATCATGGGCCAGAGCCGGAGCCTTCCGTCGAACTGCCGGAGCCTTCTGCCGAAATGCCTGAGCCGGAGCCTTCCACAGAACTGCCAGAGTTGCCTGCAGCCGAACCCCCGAAGCCTCCGGTGAGGCCTGCAGCCGAACCGCCCAAGCCTCCGGTGAGGCCTGCAGCCGAACCGCCCAAGCCTCCGGTGAGACCTGCAGCCGAACTGCCCAAGCCTCCAGTGAGACCTGCAGCCGAACCACCCAAGCCTCCGGTGAGGCCTGCAGCCGAACTGCCCAAGCCTCCATTGAGACCTGCAGCCGAACCGCCCAAGCCTCCGGTGAGGCCTGCAGCCGAACCGCCCAAGCCTCCGGTGAGACCTGCAGCCGAACCCCCGAGGCCTCCGGTGAAGCCTGGAGCCGAACCGCCCAAGCCTCCAGTGAGACCTGCAGCCGAACCACCCAAGCCTCCGGTGAAGCCTGGAGCCGAACCCCCGAGGCCTCCGGTGAAGCCTGGAGCCGAACCCCCGAGGCCTCCAGTGAAGCCTGGAGCCGAACCCCCGAGGCCTCCAGTGAAGCCTCCAGTGAAGCCTGCAGCCGAACCGCCGGAGCCTTCCACCGAACTGCCTGAACCGGAGCCTTCCGTCGAACTGCCTGTGTCTGAGCCGGAGCCTTCTGTCGAACTGCCGGATCATGGGCCAGAGCCGGAGCCTTCCGACGAACTGCCAGAGCTGCCTGCAGCCGAACCCCCGAAGCCTCCGGTGAGGCCTGCAGCCGAACCGCCCAAGCCTCCGGTGAGGCCTGCAGCCGAACCACCCAAGCCTCCGGTGAGGCCTGCAGCCGAACCGCCCAAGCCTCCGGTGAGGCCTGCAGCCGAACCGCCCAAGCCTCCGGTGAGGCCTGCAGCCGAACCGCCCAAGCCTCCGGTGAGGCCTGCAGCCGAACCGCCCAAGCCTCCGGTGAGGCCTGCAGCCGAACCGCCCAAGCCTCCAGTGAGACCTGCAGCCGAACCGCCCAAGCTTCCAGTGAGGCCTGCAGCTGAATTTCCAAACCCTTATGGCCAATGTCCTGGCCATAAGTAATGTGGCTATGCGTGGTTAACTGTGCTGATTTAACCATTGGATGTATGGTATATTTTCCCTGTTATCACCAAATAAATCTCACTTGTAAGACTACTTTCTCTTTTCTTTTTTCTTAAGTGGGAAAACAACGTTGGTGTTTTTGGTATGCCAGCGTTAGTTTGGCTGTTCTCTCGCATAATGGCTCATTGAAAATTCGTGCTTTAGGAATGTACAAGTTCCCCTCCCTAAGACCCAAACACATGCAAAACTGTTTCAGAGAGGCTAGCAATAGTAAGTTAGCTTTGAACACATGAGCTCCCACCCTCCAAAGCCACGCCTCCTTCAAAACACATGAATGCACAAAGCAGAGTCTGCAAAGTGTCACGAGATGAAAGACCGTTAAATTGCCTCATGTCTCAAAACGCATAACATTTCAGTGACTATGAACACGCCAACAACTTAGTGCTCTAGTTGTACCATCTGACTGATGCGGATTCATTTCGGCAAGTCTGAATTTTCGTCCAGAGACCTTTACAGAAGGTATGTTCATATTTTAATATTTAGAACACTTCTAATATTGATTGCTATCAGGATGTGAAGAGTTTCAACCAGTATTGCCTATTGACCAATAGTCTTCTGCTGCATTCTGAAGCATTTGCTCCAAAGCATAATAGTCACATATATTGGTTGTAGACATGATATAGAATTATGTAGTTGAACGATGTTTGATTATAAGTCCGTCAAGAATTGTTTTGGGGTGATTTATGTATTATGTATACAGCTAAGTACTTGATGGCAATGCAAGCTTCAAAGAGATGAGTAAAGGAAGAACGTTGTCAATGTTTGGTAGTTTGGAAAAGACGGATTGGTTCAGAGATGGCACAGCTCGAGCCCGACCAAGATAACTGCAGACGTTGTTTGATCCCAAGACAAAGATCTAAAACAGACCACCACCTCCTTAATGACCTTTGAACGACCCCAGGGTTGAAATCTCTCAAAACCACTGAGACTTTACATATCAAAATACATAAAATCATCCCAAAACAATTCTTGATGGACGTCTAATCAAACATCGTTCAACAGCATAACCCTATATCATGCCAACATCCAATATAGTGGTATTTGAGTGGCGCTACAAATTCTTCTAAAATCGGATTTTATTTCTGGCATGTTAAATTAACATCCGACAAACGCGAACACACTTTTATTTAAGTACACTCACAATAACAATTAAATGTTGTGCTTTTGTAAAAAAAAAAAAAAAAGAGAAAACAAACAGTGTGCGCTTTCTGCCGCCTCAGTCTCCGTGAACTGGAGCGTGTCAAAGAAATGAACCAAAACTCTATAGGCTACTTGCCTCAGTCACGATGAGAAATATGTCTATAGAAAGCTTGGGTGAACAAAAATTCTCTGATTATATAATCCATATGAAACCATCCATCATCAAATTGGCTTTGATATAACCATGGCTGTATATTCACTATAGTGGCTGGAAACATTGTTTTCCTTCATAATTACTTTGCATCGCAAATCAATCAGCAATTGAAAAATTCAGATTCAAATTCTAGACATGCCCCTGTGTCTGTGCTGTGTCTCTTGATGTTCAATGTAGATTTATGCCACTCTCCAGTAGAGATCCATTTCCTGGAGAGTTTAGGTGTAGGAGTTTAGTCATAATTACAACTTGTAACTTGTGGTAGAACTCCGACTTGTACCACGTGGTCGCTTTACCACCTGACCACATTTGGCGTTGATAGCTTTGCCATAAAAACGCTCAATCATCTCCTAATTACGGTAATTATTACGACATCCAACCCTAATCAAACACACCTGAACAAGCTAATCAAGGTCTTCAAGATTAGGCTACATTAGAAAGCTACAGGCTGGTGATTTTCATTAGGGTTGGAGTTACCCAGACCTCCAATTGGAACTTTAAAAACACGTTCGAACAGCTCTCTAAACTCTTTTGACAGCGTTTGTTGTGGGACCTGATATTTTGATGCAGCAACAGGGTTTTTCTTTGTAGTGTTGTGTTCCTTGCTGTCCACCCCTCCGGACTCACTAATTCAGCTCATCTTCCTGCAGAGTTGATTGTGAGATTGCAGGTCGAGAGGATGACCACTCGAGTGTACTGCTCGTTTAGTGCTGTTTTATTGTGTCTGTCTGCATGTTTGAGCACAACAGACGCTGGAGTCGTAGGTGAGAAGTTATTTTAGCTTCATTACACAGCCCGAAGAAGTGCATAAATAAACTTCCTAACCAATTTTGACTTTAGACCCATCTCAGCACATAGGCTTACAAAAATGCAGTGCAGACGTCAAGTGAGAGTTCAACTTTGTATGTTGGTTTAGTTTTAATAATAAGCTAAATATAATTGTGCAAACTGTCATAAGTTTATGCATTTTTCCATTGTACAAGTAAAACCCATATAATCACTAATGTAGGCATTTTTCTTTAATGTAAAACAAGAACATTAGTGTTATAATATGGCTACAAAATTGTTACCAGATGGTTATCAATCCGGAGTTTAAACTTTTGCCTAAAGTTTTTGTTTTAACAACTACAATATAACATGGGGAGCTAATTATAATCGATAAGCATGCGTTGTGTATACGTAGTGCGTTTCTATATTTGTTTTGTTTTCTGTTGAGTAGCCTATTAAAATGCTTAAAAGGAAGTTAGGGTGGACATGGGGATGGCATAATTTTTTGAAGATGTACACCAGTAAATTTGGGTAGGTTGTAACAGCACTCTCAGTCTTTGAAACTAATTGATGCAGTTTAGTGAAAAATGGTAGATTTCTAAGCTACTTTGAATTGAAGCTGATAAATTGAATCCTCTTCTGTAGTGTCCGGTCACTGTCCAGCGACGCTGACGGTCAAGCCATCCCGTCGAGGATGCACTTCTGATAGAGACTGCTCTGGAGGACACAAATGCTGTCCATTTCCCTGTGGGCCTGTGTGTGTGCCGCCTGTTTTCAGTGAGTTTTAATTAATGATGGATGCTATACGTCTTCCAAAAACACTGAAAAAATGTTTTGACTCAGAAATTGCTAGTAAGTTTCACAAATAATTGCAAAGAAACCACAAGCAACACATTGAATTAAACGCGAAACTATGAAGTAGATAGACTGATAATTCCGGTAAATCCTCCTATCATCTTAGACAATTTTTTTTTTTTTTACACTGTATGAGACATTCAGTAATGTGGTTTCTGTCATGTGTCGGTATAACAGCAAAGCCAGGAGAGTGTCCAAGCCCAAATTTTGGAGCAGGAATGTGTGCCGAGTTGTGTTTCTATGACAGTGACTGTCCGAACAATGAGAAATGCTGCAGCAATGGATGTGGACGTCAGTGTATGGCTCCATTTGCAGGTATTTGTTATGTTATTATATTAGTGTTTGGGTCAGCTTCCTCGTTATTTCAGTTTGTCTTGTTTTCTAATAAATCGTTCTCCATGTAAAAATGATTCAGCCAATAGCATGGTTTCAAGCACAGGATGGCTTTACACAATTAACAGATGCTGATTAATACTTATAGTAAGACTTACTATTTGGGTTTTGTGCTGTATCTGAGACTGAAAACTGCTAAATGGACTGACTAAATTTGACTCTCTGTATCCATCCAGTGAAGCCTGGAGCCGAACCCCCGAGGCCTCCGGTGAAGCCTGGAGCCGAACCCCCAAGGCCTCCGGTGAAGCCTGGAGCCGAACCCCCGAGGCCTCCGGTGAAGCCTGGAGCCGAACCCCCGAGGCCTCCGGTGAAGCCTGGAGCCGAACCCCCGAGGCCTCCGGTGAAGCCTGGAGCCGAACCCCCGAGGCCTCCGGTGAAGCCTGGAGCCGAACCCCCGAGGCCTCCGGTGAAGCCTGCAGCCGAACCCCCGAGGCCTCCGGTGAAGCCTGCAGCCGAACTGCCTGAGCCTTCCACTGAACTGCCTGAACCGGAGCCTTCCATCGAACTGCCTGTGTCTGAGCCGGAGCCTTCCGTCGAACTGCCTGTGTCTGAGCCGGAGCCTTCGGTCGAACTGCCGGAGCCTTTTACCGAAATGCCTGAGCCGGAGCCTTCCACCGAACTGCCGGAGCCTTCCGACGAACTGCCAGAGTTGCCTGCAGCCGAACCCCCGAAGCCTCCGGTGAAGCCTGCAGCCGAACCCCCGAAGCATCCGGTGAAGCCTGCAGCCGAACCGCCCAAGCCTCCTGTGAAGCCTGCAGCCGAACCGCCCAAGCCTCCAGTGAGGCCTGCAGCCGAACCGCCCAAGCCTCCAGTGAGGCCTGCAGCCGAACCGCCCAAGCCTCCAGTGAGGCCTGCAGCCGAACCACCCAAGCCTCCAGTGAGGCCTGCAGCCGAACCGCCCAAGCCTCCAGTGAGGCCTGCAGCCGAACCGCCCAAGCCTCCAGTGAGACCTGCAGCCGAACCGCCCAAGCCTCCAGTGAGGCCTGCAGCCGAACCCCCCAAGCTTCCAGTGAGGCCTGCAGCTGAATATCCAAACCCTTATGGCCAATGTCCTGGCCATAAGTAATGTGGCTATGCATGGTTAACTGTGCTGATTTAACCATCGGATGTATGGTATTTTTCCCCTGTTATCACCAAATAAATCTCACACTTGTAAGACTTATTTCTCTTTTCTTTTTTCTTTTTTAATTTGGAAAACAAATTTGGTGTTTTTGGTAAGCCAGCGTTAGTTTGGCTGTTCTCTCACATAATGGCTCATTGGAATTCGTGCTTTAGGAATGTACAAGTTCCCCTCCCTAAGACCCAAACACTTGCAAAACAGTTTCAGTGAGGCTAGTAATAATACGTTAGCTTTAAACGCATGAGCTCCCACCGTCCAAAGCCACGGCTCTTTCAAAACACATGAACGCACAAAGCAGAGTCTGCAAAGTGTCACGAGACGAAAGACCGTTAAATTGCCTCAGGTCTCAAAACGCATAACATTACAGTGACTATGAAGACGTAAACGACTTACGGTGCTCTAGTTGTACCATCTGACTGATGCGGATTCATTTCGGCGTTAATAGTGTTGACATGGAAACGCATAAATCCAAGTCTGAATTTTCGTCCGGAGACCTTTACAGAAGGTATGTTCACATTTTAATATTTAGAACACTTCTAATATTGATTGCTATCAGGATGTGAAGAGTTTCAACCAGTATTGCCTATTGACCAATAGTCTTCTGAAGCATTTGCTACAAAGCATAATAGTCACATATATTGTTTGTAGACATGATATAGAATTATGTAGTTGAACGATGTTTGATTAAGTCCGTCAAGAATTGTTTTGGGTTGATTTGTATTATGTATACAGCTAAGTACTTTATGGCCATGCAAGCTTCAAAGAGATGAGCCTAGCTAAAGGAAGAACGTTGTCAATGTTAGGTAGTTTGGAAAAGACGGATTGGTTCAGAGATGGCACAGCTCGAGCCCGACCAAGATAACTGCAGACGTTGTTTGATCCCAAGACAAAGATCTAAAACAGATGTAGAGTATGAATGGAGAATCATGAATTCACTAATTCCGAACGCCATGCACACATTCCTGCGAACGGTTTCTAAATGCCCACAACCTATGACTCACCCAATCTAAATCAACTAGCGCCAATGAGTCTGAAGTTTAAATTGATTTCTGACACCTTTACAGCGTAACCGAGTCTCCCCAGATCTCCTCGTGCCAGCCCGATTAATTCGCGAGGCACGATCAAAGAAGACCGTTATCTCTAACACCCCTCCCCGGCGAGGGGGGGGTGCCAGATGTTCAAATGCAGATACGCACACACCTATGTTCACACACACATACCTATGAACCCTAGGTTTCTATCTATAAATCGGTACTAAAACAGAGTTGGTGTATTAAAATCCCTTTAACAGAACTATAAATGTGCAAACATGTCCTACGAATGTTTTCATGAATGTAAGACACTTATAAATGCCCGAAAGTGTGCATTAAGAGGTAATTCTGCAATATTATGTCTGTGACGTGTGATGTTTGATATGTTTGTAATCCTAAAAATCTGATCTATTCATTAAGCTGTATATCGATATCGTGTGTAGCGAAAATGAGTCTGTTTTGGGGAAATTATTTAACTCAAATGGGGAATATTATTCATTAGATAATGAATATGTAATCGCATACATAAATTAAATTATCCCAAATAGGGAATGGACTAAACATTACCATATATGAATAATTAACACGATTGATCGTAGTAATTATTGATATTTGGTTTGGTTAAGTCAGATTAATTGTCAGGGTCAATTTACATGTGATTCCAAATTAGTTTGTCATGCATCCTGGTTCGTCCTGCGAATCGGAGATGAAAACTTCCTTATATCACGAGATTACCTGCCTGTATACCGAGTGAATATTTTCCGCTGGCCACACGGAAGTATCTGCTCGTATACGGCACTTTCAGATGTTTACAATAGTTAACCGAGGTAGAGCTTTGGTAACTTACAGATCTTTGACATATTACAGAGACTTCAATCATGGGACAATGAGACAGATTCGATTCAAAGGATTATGGAATTTTAATAACACAATACTAAGGGTTATATAGACTACTAAAAACCACGCAGGAGTAAATAATATGCATATCAAAACAAACAATTAATACAGGATTGCAATATGACGTATTTAAAAGGACACAGTTAGAGTGGGAGAAGCCAAACCCCCGAGGCCTCCGGTGAAGCCTGGAGCCGAACCCCCGAGGCCTCCAGTGAAGCCTGCAGTGAAGCCTGCAGCCGAACCGCCGGAGCCTTCCACTGAACTGCCTGAACCGGAGCCTTCC